CCCCTTTCCCCCTTTCCCCCTTTCCCCCTTTCTCCCTTTCTCCCTTTCCCTTTTTGCTTTTTGCTTTTTGCTTTCTTTTCTACTTTTGGTTTTAAAAGCAGGCTTTTTTCCAAGGTAAATAAAATCACAGAGCATTGTATTAAACTTCTTGAAACAATGAGTTGCTTTTGTGAGAATTAATACTGTTTGTAAGAATCTGATGTTGCATAGAAGATATCAGTTTACATATTCAATGATGTACACAGGATTTAGTGTACTAATTGTATAATATGTAGAGAAAGTAACACTTGCAATATATTTTCCACTGTGAATAAGTTTCTCTGTTATTATATTGTTGCATGTACTTCCAGCAAATGAAAATCATATTTTGATTAAATATAATTACGTTAAAATGGCTTTTGAGTTTATAGGCAGTTGTCTGGGGGGAAAAAAAAAAAAAAGAAAAAGAAAAGAAAAGGATATGATCTTTCTAAACATAAGGAAATAGAATTTAAATTATTTTGTGTCTATACACCTTTTCAGGTTTAGCTGCTTTTGGTAAATTGTTACATGAACACAGTCAAATAGTCCAAGCATTTTTTGCACTGGAGACTCAAGTGAATTAGAATGAGCAGAGGCACGTAGCCACTGGAAAACCTTGCGTGGTTTATACAAAGAAATTATGTTACTAATAAGTGTCTTGTTCTGCTTAGGTCTGTGCCAAATCTTGGGGAGTACTAGGCATATGATTAATTGATACAGACAGAATCTTAACCTGAACCATTTGATTTCTGTGTTTCTGTATCACCATACAGCTGTGCTTCTCAGGGACATCAAAAGTTCAACCTTTTCTAAACTTGTTGCTATGCCCACTGCCATGGGAAACTAAAATCCCAAGGGCATTCTTGATACTAGGCCCAGGCATATCTAATTTAGCTTGTGAGAAAACATGCTTTGGCATGCTCTAATAGTTCTAATAGACTTTGACTTTGGTGAATATCAGGGGTCTACAGAGACAAACGACAAGACTAATTATCATTATATTTTTAATTCAGGGTTCAGCCCAAATTCCTAGCCATCTTATGTGGAAAGACAGACCATGCTAAGACAAGCTGGAGAAAGCTTAAGTTCTGAAAGTAGCCAAAGCATGTACCTACCTGTGTGCCAAGCCCAGTTTAGAACTGTATGTTCTAGCTGGTCTTCTAGTGCCATCACGTGGTTTATGCTGAACAGACAAGTTAGCTGCTGAGTCTTTCTCAAAGGATCTAAAATTACATTCTGCAAGATTAGATGAACATTTTGGGTAGCTTGAATAAGGATAGCTGTTGAAGCAAGGTTGGTACACTGTACTGAAGCTATGTCTGACAATGTGGTTTAACAAGTTAGGTCAACGAAAACACCTCTTAAATATAAGCCACCAATCCCTCTGTGGTCACACTGTCTCATCTTTGTCCAGCACAAAAAGCCAATAGCACACCTTTAATGCTTTGAAGAAGAAGAACTTGAAGAAGTAAATAAGCAATTGAGTCTGCTTAGAAAGGGAGGACAGATGTTGCCCCTCAGGGGTGACATCATAAGGTCATAAGCAAGTGATTATTATCAGATTATGTTTTTTACAGCTCACTTCTATGGAATGACCCCACCTCTGTATACTGGAGAATGATACAGCATTATATTGTTTTACCTGTTGGTTTTTTTTAAAAATTAGATTAATAAAAATGGGACATTAGAATGAGACACAGTGCCAAATAAATTCCTGTTGATTCAAACCCACAGAGAATATAAATAACAACTGTGTGAAATACGCTGTTGGGTGGTATATTGATTTATGTAAAACAAGTTTAAAATAT